CACACGGGGGGTGGCTCACCTCAGACAATGAATACAGCTTGGTGAAAGAGGCCAAGCTGCATTAGACACACTACATTAGCAGAACACATTCTCTTATTCCCTGTGCAAGGACATGAGTAGCTGTTACGGGTCTCCTCTCGTGTGCCCGTTCTGCAGTTACCAGCCATAGACATAATCCTATCTGGCACTTATCGCGGTGTGATTTTATGTGAATGTCTTGTGTGCTTTTAGCCATGTTTGAGTCTACAATGATCTCATTTAGTTAAAACAGTGTAGTGTGACAGGGCCCTGCAGGATATGTCAGCACTCACACCAAAATAAAATCAGTCCACTAAGCACAAATATGCAGCATCAAGTTTCTTTGGGTCCATGTTTCCTTGGAAGTATGGGTTTGCACCTAGGCTTGCATGGGGGCGTGGGCTAAAAGCATGCGCTGGGATTCGGCTCAGTAAGGGGTGGGAGGCTGACTTATGTGGACACTGGCACAGAGGCGATTACATCACACTGTCATAACTGGCTATATTTGCATTCAGTCAAACGTCGAATATTACTACACAGTAAAAGAGGTCATACAGAGAGCACTGCTAGGTCTTTGGGTATATTTCTTTACAAACATTTATTTTTTTCATTTCAGCAGCAGGTTTCGCCCTCCTGATGTGTGGTCTGTATAGGCACTGTTTTATTTTTGGGGTCCAGGCACTAAAAAGCTTTCCTTTCTTCCTCTTAAAAACATGAGGCAAGACTTATTCCCCTATTCTTCACTGGCTTTAAGTCTGAAAGCTTTCTAGAAAGAAAAGGGAAGCTTTCGAAAAGATTTCTTTTAGAAGTTTAAACATTCCTTCAAACTACAACAGAAGTATAAACGCACATCTGCAATATGGTTCAATAGCGAAATGAAGCAGCTTGCCAGCGGCCACTTAACTGTATTGTTGACTGACAATACAAAAAGTCACGTGGTGATTGATACTGGCAAACTGATGTTAGCGGATGATGCCACATCAGCACAAGCAGAATCCTCTTGCTGGGAACTCTGTCACTCACAAAAGCTGTTCTGTGAATTTGCTCCTGGATTCACTTCTTTGCACCACTCCCTGGCTGAACGGTGAAATGGTGAACACCATGACAAGGTGTTTTTAGACAACTCGCAGGCCAGAACAGGCCTGTTCAAATGAGATGGACAGCACCATCGCTAGAAGGAAATGGACTAAAAATACAGGCGAAAGGCTCCAGCGCCAGTGACAACCGAAGATGCCTGTGGCGCTGATGATGTAATTTAGCTCCACTCCAGTTTAATCCTGTTTTCAATTCCCAAGCAAAGTCCCTGTAATGAGACAGTGTGTGTCCCAAGCCTTGTCACCAGAACACCTATTTTTCCCAGACCTGCTGGAGTCTGCCCAAACCATCTCCTCCTCTGTGATTTGCCCTTTTAAATATTAGATCACTCCTGCCTACAGCATTACTCATTAATATTACAAATTAGATTTCTCTCAGATAGAACTGAGGTCCTGATTATACTTTATGATTTCCTTCCCTTTAACTGATTTGAGGCTGTGTCTCTGATACCATTTTGCTGGTGGATATTGTGGAGTACCTGCGTATTGTATGCAGTATAGCCATTCAAAATGTGTGTCTGTTTGAGCTCTGCCATGCTGCCATGTCACCCTCAGGTCAGCTCTGTCTGTTTCCAAGCAGAGGATACAAAAAGGGCGCTTAGTTGCTGCTTAACTCTGTTACTCTGCAACAGCTATCCGTGCACTGAACAGCCTCGAGGGGATAGGGGTGACTGTCTGAGTGTGTGTGTGTGTACGTTTGTGTGTATGCGTGTGTGTGTGTGTGTGTACGTAAGCAGAGGGGAAATCAGTGCAAAAAGACTTGCCGATTTGCCCCGGGTCATATGTGGTGCACTCGTTAAGTGGACATCAATGATGCAGCAGCCACACGCTCCTACAAACGCAAGCACATCAGACCTCTCAGTTTCATCTGCTGAGCCCCTGTAGTGAAACGGGAAGCTCTTGCATTATTGATGGGCTCGTCCTGTAAAGCATTGAACTCACTCACGCTGCTGGTAACATTATACCTGGCAGTCGAACAAAAACATTTTGTCAAATTAAGTGGTTTAATCAGACTAACTGATGGAATGTGATTACAAGTGATACTATTACAGATTGCTACAAATGATCCCCTTGAGGCCAAATTTACTAAACTAGCATAGCTTCACATGCAATTCCATTAACACAGTAATTAAGTAATTGTTCTAAAAGTCTAAAGAAACCAAAAAAAACCCCAGTATTTAATCTCAAGAATTTTTATAACAAAATTCCAGCATTTCCTTCAATTTAAATGTATACTTCACTACACTGTGTTATTCTGTTTGCCTTGAAAATGAACTGTTGTGTTACTCCAGAAGACACAGCATATAACTAGTTATATTAACTGCATGCACTCATTTTACCTGTACCTTTTTTTTTTTTTTACAGGTTCACATGACAATTTCAATGAGAAGCAGTATTTTCGTATTTTGAGCAGCAAGCCTGTGACCCGACAGACATCCGCTTCAATCGCTCTGAAACTGGTGGAGGAAGCCAGCGTTGGCTCTCTCCACAAAGACGGCACCCACAGTCTAAATCTCTCATGTGCAAGTAATGTGCATATCTGCAGCCTATCCTGCCCTTGAAACAACACCCCGAGGCTGTAGCTCTGAGGACAGAATGTACATGGAAAAACCAAGACCAAGACAGGAACTGAAAAGATCTAGTGGCTCTTGTTGGCATCTTTGTGCATACTTTGTTTCCTCCAGTAGGGGAGTTATAAAACACAGACATGAGTCATAAAATGCAGGTAGCCTAGATACTGCAGATCTTCAGGATATTTGCTGGCCATGGGAGTTATTGCCTTCCTGAATTGCACGCCCGGGAGGCAGCATGCCATGTAATAAGTGTGGTTGCCCCTGGCAACAGTACTGCTAAGTACTGTTGAAATGTATATTAAAAGGAAGCTTCAAATATTTTGAAATGGGAGGAGATAACATACTCATGCATTTTTAAAGGACAGAAATTTGATTGGTGGTTCGCGGCCATGTGGTCACAGGAGTTGTTGAATTATAGAGTCATAAAACCCAGAAGAGCGTCTGCATGAACAAAGGCCGGGGAATAATTGAACCCTCTTTTGCTCCAAGTCAAGTCTGCTCAAGATGAATTGGATTTCTACACATTAGTTCTTATTAAGCACTTTTAAGAGTATCAGATAAGAACACAGGATATAACACATCATCAATATATCCAAGTGTGGCAGTAGCAAGTGGCATTAAAGGTCTGCTTGACTATAGCAACATTAAAAGAACATAACCTCAATTGGAAAAAAAGTGGAACTAAATCGTTAAATTTTAAATGATATACCTTTTTAAAGTATTACACATGAATGAATGCAGAGATTCTGGTAAATTAATTAACAACAGTGTTTTCATACATTTTGTGCAAAACAAAATTAGGAGACTGGGATCACTGCAGCACGCAGATGTCAAAGGTCATTAAAAGTCAACTGTCTGGTTAATGATAAACCTGATGTTCCTTCACTACTCTGAGCCCCAGAATCCCCCCTGCTCAGACTATTTTCTGCTGTTACGGCTTCCGTGTCATCCGTGGCGTGCTCTATTTAAAGAGTCTGGGTTGATGATCTTGAATGACACACTGACATATCTCCAGTTACATAGGCCAGGCTGTGCTGCTATAATGCTGAGAGGCTATGCATGCCCAGCAGGCAAGTAGGCATTTAAATGGAGTTTCACACTTATCAAGCAGGCAAGAAGCAGCTGATGGCACATAGTTGGTACTAGCAGCCAATGAAGAGGCGAATGGGAGACCTCAGTGACCGTGTCACACATGAGCTGATATTTATCAAGCATCTAAAACGATTTTGATGGTCCAATTAAAGAAATCCTTTCTAATACATTTAAATTTTGTAACAGAAAACTCCATTATTGCTAAATCCCTTTTTTAAGGTCAATGTGCTGATTAAATTATCCTGCAGAAAACTAACGCTGCTCAGTAAATTTGGACTACTGTTAAAAAAAAAAAAAAAAAAAATCAACCTGCAATCTTGCAGGAAACCAGCTGCTCACTCAGTGTAGCACCTATTGGCCTGGCCCAGACAGATGTAGGTGTGTTAGTTTTGGCCACCAACCCAACATTTCCCATCTGTCTCTGGGCCAGATAAGGTCATTGCTAATGGCACAGTAATCTGCCAATCGGCTTTTGTCTGAACTCAGTCCTGATGAATTAGAATTATTATTTAGAGTTATACCATGAACTCCATGACCCTGTCAGGGATGAAAGTCACTGTCAGTATGTTGTGAAGTCACTATCATGGTTTGGAGGAAAAACGACTGACTTGGATGGCAGGAAGTTTTATTACAGGAAGAAAACAATCTAAAGTTCATCTTGGGGATGGGGACAGAGACTCACTGGGTGGAATATTTAAACTATTTTTCCTAAAGCTGGCGGCCAGTGACTCAACTGGAACACTGACATCGAATGAACTGAATTAACCACCTGCTGCTGCTGCTGTGGTTCAATCACATATCAAGAGTTTAACATGTGAATGGCCTTCTTTCTTCTACCCAAGTAAAAGATTATAGAACTCTTCTCTTGAGATTATTGAAACAGAGACACAAAGCTGTCATTATTATTCTCAGTTATATTTTTTTCTTTTTTTATGAGTAAATTTGCTGGAATCGATATTATGCATCTTGTCAGAGGTCTGATTTTATCATTTCAAACCGACATTGTTCAAACTGAAATTGCAGTAGTATGGTGTTTGTCAGGGGAATAGCAAGACTCAGTCTTCCTCTGCCACAGACCACTACCTCATAACACAGCAAGAATACATGGCAGCTTTACAGCTGTGAAAAAGGAGCAGGTCTGTGCTGTGTGTCCACTTCGGTCTAATGAGAGGAAAAGGCACCTTCTCACTGACAAACACGTGAGAGGTGACTGGTTACTTACATCTGTGTCGGGCCCCTTATCTGCCCCTGGGCAGCTGAACGTGACAAATTCATGGCACCTCTTGTGGACCACAAAACAGCAAACTGCAGGGAGAAAAGAGGAGAGGAGGGTAGAGAGAGAGAGAGAGAGAGAGAGAGAGAGAGAGATTCAGAGAGAACGAAATACACAGACAGATGGAGAACAAAAAGGAGAGAAAGAGAGACATGGTTAAAATACAGTGTATCATTGCTGATTGATATGTAGACAGACAGCAGAAAGAGACAGAAATCTGATAACACTGAGAGGGATTGGAGAAAAAAAAAAAATGACTGATGTCTGGGCCAGGCTCCTCATCATGTGTCCAGATGGCCAGTCCTGCCTGCAGGCTGACTGCTCTTACTGCACAGTACACTGCCACCTCCTCACTGACATGACAGGAGCTAAGGCAGACACCGCACACACACAGAGACGCGCTCACGCTTTTCTATCCACATGCAACCTGCTCAATGCAGACAGACAGATCCGCAAAAACAATTACCGAGCAAGTATCCACATAGAACGCATCCAGGCCTATATACTCGTGAATACTACTGCGGTCTAAGTGCCAGGTCAATGAGTGCACTCTCGTCTCCAGCCAAGCAAGCAGCCGACTCATAGTGGAGGAAGGCGCCTGTTACTGGCTCTCATGAACCAGGCTGACACCAGAAACGGGACAGGGTGAGGAGGGCTAATTGAGTGAGCTGGACGGCATAATTAACAAAAAACGATAAATTCTCCCTGTTCTGTCCTCACTTGTTCAGGCAGACTTGTTCATCATAGATGTGTCTAGGTAAGTGTTTTTTTTTTGTTTTTTTTTCTCTGCTCCTCTTGAGAGACAAAGCATCCCTCCCCCTCTTCCTAGGACTAAATGTTTTCAAGGCCGACACTTGCGGCATGAGATGAGAGCATCTAAATTGGTGGTTTTCAACAGTCTTCACTTAGCACTGAGTAACCCCCGTGCAGACTCCATTAGTGGTTTGTGTTGCATCGATGATGTGATGCATTTTCAGAGACCACGCTTGATTTTCAGTTTTACTACTTTCACTACTGCAAAGTGATGTGCACAGCGTCTCTCACTCTTGCGCACGCATCCACCTACAGATCACCTCTCGTCATTCCGCTGCATCCCTCTCAAAACAGCTCCACCCAAAACACAAATAGGTGAGTGCTCAAGATGAGCTGTGAGGGCCACCAAGGCTGAACGGGGAACAAAAAGTCTCTCACAGACTTCCTCAGCAGAAAATCCAGGGAAACGTAAGTCGCATAAACGCCCACCGACAGAGGTGTCATCAAAAATCAAACACGATTCGAGAATGTTTGTCACCGTTGAACTTATTGCCTCACTACGTCAAACGCCTGGACCGTTCATGCATTATGTATTCCTACCAGTTAAATACCCGTTTCTGTGTCCTCATTCAGTCTAAAAGTCTAGATTATGATTCAGACATGCAACACAAACCGAGTAATGACAGTGCCGCTCTTAAGATTATGGTTATTATTTTTGACTTCTGAACGCTGTTGTTTTGGCGTGAGTCAAACCCGGTACATCCATCCACCATCTGCCCTGTCAAGGAGCTGCCTCCCCTAAAATCATGAATAAAGACAGCTATTTATGAATGTAACACCCCATCAGCATAGCACATGTGTAGTACCTGTATATTTTGCATATAAAACTTTATTCAATTCCACTGAAATGTGGCTCATAAATCATCTTTATATGACACTTTACTGTGCATAAGTCATAACTCACAGGGAATTGTTTCTGTCTCCTCAAAATGTGCACTATCACAAACGCATCTGCCATATATTCAATTCTGCTCGCATGCAAGAAGGTTTATACATATTTTTTAGTGAGTATTATAAACTTAGCAAATGGGCAATAGGTTCAAACGACTAGGCGAATGATGCTGAAGCACCGTCTGTTAATTTACTTCTTTCTGTCTTCAACTTCGGTGCCATTTTTTCCTCTGGCACCTGACCAGCAGCACCGTTTGTATCGCTGGGGTCAGACACAAACAGTAGCAGCACTTTAGCACGTTTGTTTAGAGTAAGAAGGGCATAGTTGGTATTCTGCATAGTCACTCACTCTCATATCATTTTTGATGAAGCACACAGCATAGTAAAACAATATTAGCTGTAAGAAACATCAGTGTTCAGCAGGGAAATGGCAACGTCAAGCCCTTCTGGGAACGACACAATAACATATGAAAATGTTTTGTTGGGGGTTTTTTTTCCCAGGGTAATACATTTACTACGGTACATTTTTGTTTTAAAATACTGGAAATTGTGGTAATGAGTAATTAAATATATCAGAACATGCAGACACCTTACAGTGCATACTGTATTTTCTCAGTAGAGGGTTGTTTGCTATGTGGGTGGCAGACACCGCGATTAAACAGTGTCACAGACAGTGCTTGGGTCAATACCAGCAGAATTGTTTGCATTTCCGCCCTAGACACCGGTTACATACTGTAGGTGAATTTTGCCCTTTTGGGTTTTGCACCAAAGCTGTCAGAGCATCAGCCACATTAGCATCATGGCTGAGTGCATCATGAATATTTGATTAACATGGTTTGTAAGAGATGTATCTGAATATTTGACACTTCTAAAGAACTTGGCAGGACCAACTAAGCCAATGCCAATTATCAATAGACATGTTTTTTTTCTTTCTTTGGATCGTAAATGCGCTTTATCTCCAACACCATGGCTGCAGTTGTAAATAATCACACACAAGCTCCAGGTGGAGTGAAATACATCATGGTGGCGGGTGTTGTTGTGGAGATAATCCACTTTTCCGGGCCAGATTTCACAAGTCAGGGACTCAGTAACTGCAGAGCTGTGGCCACATGTCAGGTTTTCTACCCATGATTATACAATCAATAATTTGAAATAAAAAACATTAATGTATGCCATGGTTTAGATATGTATTCAAGTCGAGAAACCCCCATTCAATATGAGAATATGATAATTATAGATCTATGCATACACTGCACAAACCACTAAGGGTTAGGGTAGCCAACATGTTGGTATTATGTTGGTATTCACAAGCAGTTTAATAATGGCAGATCAATACAACCCCCACATACAGACATATCGCACGACCAAAACTCGACCCATACTATCCCATCATGCCTCCTAGGAGCGATGGGTCAGCGCGGTCAATAACCAACATGAAACCATGACCTATAACTCACACCACCGCCAACCCACAAACCACATAGGCCATAAATCTCAATGATTCATAACCTCCATAATTAATCCTAGAGTACATATCTGATAGTGGTGTGGGTCTCTTCAGTTCAGTCTTTGAAGACCAAGGGGCTACAGGGATAAACAGGATGTTACACTGAGCGCTGCTATACCGAACGAGTTGGAGAGTCTGTACGGTTTGCTTGGTTCTTGTCTTTGACCTTACTCTTCTATTATTTCTCCCAAACAAAGCTGCTGCTGAGCGTGCTTAGCGCATCGCCTCCTTTGCAGCAGTGGATTTCACCTGTGAAAGGCCTAACAGGGTATTCACAATAGTTTATTAAACAAGGTACAAGTGGGAACACTATGCAACAGCAGCTCACCAGTAGAAAGCAGGGCTATGTTGGACCAATCATTCAGTGCTCTGATTTGTACCCCACAGAAAATACAAAACATATGTGCTAAACAGATTCAGCAGATAGCCACGACTGATTACAGTCAGCACTGAATTTGAGTCTGTTCCATTTTGGCACTTCATTGATGCTTCATGAGCTTTATCTGTTTTGTTTCTCCAATTTCTGCCTCTTTACACAAACCTGCTGCACAGGATTAAGTGGTCAATCCAAATACCTAAACCATTGTTTTCTGGCTGGGACAACTATTTTCTGTAACACAGAAACTGTTCCTCCAGAGATTTATGGAATTGGCTTTGCTTGTTGAGAGAATGTGAGAGACAAAGAGTGAGAGGGTGTAAGCGCGAGCTGCACCGATGGGAGGGAGATAAAGGAAGAGGTCAGCGGAACCAAGATGAAGGAGGTCGAAGCTCATCGTCTTCTGCTGTTCTCATTAGAGCACGGCTGCCTGTGATCAGTTGTCCCAGCGGCCTTGTTCTGGGGCAACACTTACAGTGGTTCAACACATTCATCACCTCTGATGCCATCTTTGAGGAACATCTCCATTAGGAGGCATCAAGCTTCACTGTAACTGCGTCACTGTGAGAGGATAATGTGCTGTGTATTTCAACAGCGGTGAGTCTATTAATTCAGCAAATTTATCTTAGCAAATCATTAGGAAAGCTACTGAGCTTGTAAAGCATCATAATAAGGCTGACAGAGGACATCGGGGTCAGGTGGTCAGTTTCTATTAAAAGCTGTTGCTATTACCAGCTATTGGATTAAAACAGGGACTTTGGGAGACTGATAATTTAATAAAGAGCAATTAAGGCTCATAGATTCATGTAAGCGCAGGTGAAACATTCTCTCAGTTCCTGCAAGAAATGAGAGGTGTTACCTCTGACAATAGATTAGTCACCAGTGAGAGAGGACAGCAGCTGAGTTGAGGTGTTTCCAATAGGTCTGTTCAGGCAACTGGAGATATATGTCTGCCTCTGACCTTATAATTTCCTTACTCTCTGGACAGGATTAATTATACAGCAAGAGAGAGCGTAATGAGGGTTTTCAAATCAATACTTATTGCTTTCCCCGACAACACAAAACAGAATGACTTTTCTTTCAAAAGATAACAAAGCTCAGGCGTTCTCCTATTCCACTCCGGCAAATCAATTTCTTCCAAATTTTTTCCAGGTCACAAGTTTATAGGAGCAATTTCCTGAAGTTTTTTATTTCTTGAATGCAGACAGGAAATGAGAAAGAGGGGATGGTTTTATTCAACAGTTTGCGGGTAGAGAGATTTATTTCCAAGGTACCTCACAAAAACAAAAGGGATTGTAGGAGAGAAAGCTGTAACTATCAAGAGGCCTTGCAGCCCAGTGGTGGCCTTGACAAAAGCCTTTCCTCCCAGACTGGCGGGGCTTTGATTATTCCCTCTGGTTCTTTTCTCCACTTGAATGCCCGAATCATTTTCCTCACCGTCACCA